TACTAAACACATGAAGGAAACAATTAGATCGGCGATAAGCAATTTCATAAACGTCAATTTCAACCTGTCGGTTGTAACGATATTGTTTCTTCGTTTGAAATCACCTGCCGGCGATTCCGAATAACGTACCAACGACGATTCACCGAAATGCGAATAAAATTCGAATAATGTTGATGGACTTTAATAGGAGCTGGTCAATCGCAATGTCCGAGTTTCCTGCCGTCGAAATGCACGTCCAAATATGCAATCTGCTCTAGACTCCCGTTTGTCCTCCGGAAAATATTACCAGTTTGTTTAACGTAAGTATACGTTCTTAACTCACGAATGAACGTAAGTCATTATAAAATGCGAATCACCCTCGCAAGAAATGATTTTTACTGCGTATGTGACTGAATAAGAGGACCGGAAGTAATCGATTTGAAAAAAGTGAATTTCATCCTGGCCCGTTCGAGGTGGTGATAATTGGTGCTTCGTTAGAGTTTGTTTCGGCGTGTTTGAGTAACGTGCCAGCGTGACGATCCATCGGAGTGCAAATAAAATCTCAACGATGCCAAAGGATGCCGATGGACGCTGGTCGATCTCGGCGCCATATTTCCTGTAGTATAATAGAAACGTCCAGGCATCAATTCCAAACGCGTGTATCGTCTCTAAAAATAATTTCGCGGTTATTTCAACGTATATCGGCGTTCTTGACGCGCGGAAAAACGACAGCAATCAATGAGTGATGTCAATCAAACACGCCAAATTGTTTTTATCGTATACCTGTACGTGTGAAGTAGACGCAAAAGTAGAGTCAGGCGACGAAGTCTATTGATTTCATAAGCCTAGTTCCGTCTAGTATATCCACGGTAAGGATAATTGGTGCTTCGTTAGAGTTCGTTTCGACGTTTTCGAGCAATGCGCCATTGTGACGATCCATCGAGATGCAAATAAAATCCGACCGATGCGATGCCGAGGGACGTTGATGGAAACTGGTCAAATCCCACGTAACGTTTCCAGCCGTCGAATTAACTGAACTATGGGAACAAACCTATGTTGTATGTGGACGTCTGTGCGTTCTCCAGGGATTATTTTTACACTTTTTTAATGCCTTGAAATATCTTTGAACAATAATATTTACAGGCATGAAATGTACAAAATGACCGTGTAAACGGTATTATTAAAATTGTATTCCAGTATTTTGTAAGATTTTCGAAAAAAATGGAACCGTCTGCGTAGATTCGTCGATGCGAAAAATGCCAATATCAGTTTGATCTTTCAATACTTGTGACAATTATCGTTTCATTTAACTCAATAATTTCCAGTGGAAGGTAGTCGTATAAGCCGACTCATTGGAATATAAAACTAACAGAATTTGTTGAGAATATCGGAGCTGAAAAATCGAATCGTTATCGTTAACGGACGCAGTCGTAACACGTTTCCTACCTTTTAAGCGGTTTTATCGTCGAAGATATGGGAAGGACGGTGAAAATTTAAAATACCGAGTTTCCGCAAACCGATTGAGGAAATTGATGACTGCGAAAGCTTCTTATGTCGGCTCAAGGCGTCTGGCGTCGCGTTTCTTGCAACGAGCGTGTACTTATTTCAGCTATTCGATCCATCGATCGATCGGATCGGTCGCCATTCCGTTCAATCAATTCCGACCTAAATAACTTCGCAGGAGGTAAGATGTCCGAGTTTCCTTAAGGAAGATTAAATCCCTTTTACATATCAAAAAACTCGTGAAGGTTTCGAGACAAAAACATTTGAGAGAATCTCCTAGTGTTATGTAATGACAGAAACGCGCTCTGCGCACCTGAGCTCGAGCGAGACGCTATTCCATTTTCCAGGAGAGGCGGAGGAGTAGGGATATCAACGCTTCCACGAGTACCGTGGAAGAAATCCTTCCAACGTTTAAATAATTAATCAAAACAAGTAAAACATTACACGTTCGTTACACTTTACTTGAAATCGATCGCTCGCATTCACACGAGGAGACGGCATAAATTTTAATCGTGCCGGTCGTACCGGACTCGATAACGCGGTTACGATTTACCTTTGCACGACCTGTAATCGGAGTTGGCGGCCACGCTGGGTCGGATTTAAAATTAAAGCGATGGCTCCTTAATGAAAAACCGATGAAGATATATGAGACACCCTTTAACGTCCTACCGCCGAATTATCGTGACTCGCGTGCTCGATCCAGCACGGCCCATCTCCATCCCTTTCGCGAGCTCGACCAGTTAAATCTCGCACGGCTCGGGACGGACTTGGTCGATATATATATTACCCGATATACGCGCATAATATCTCCGGCTCTCGCGATGAATAATGCAGTCCGCGTGTCACGCATAACTTCCCTCCCTCCTGCCTCCTCCCCCTTTTACGCTACCGCATCTCGTGCGGATAATACCCTGTCTCGAGAATTCGGCCGAATCGAACAGCCAACGAAAATAACAATAATCCCGCCTCGTTGCCTCCCGATAACAGCGGCCGTGCACGCATGCGGAGACGCGTGCATCCATCCGCAGACGGGACACGCGGGCAGACTCCTTAAGAGGCTTCAAACTTGGCGCCATGTCACGTGGTCCTCCTAGCGGCTTGGCATTCCGGAGGTTTTCGAAGTTGCCGTGCAGCACCGAAATGTAATGAAACCTTAGACCATAAATATCTAGACCTCCCATGGCAATGGAAAGGGTAAACTCGAATACCACATGGACCCTGGGTACCGACGGCGCTCGGACCCAATCAGAATTTAGACCATACATTTATGTAGACCGCTTTGCACTGGAAGGGGTAAAGGAATGTACCACGTGTCCCGACGACTGACCCGCACAGTTAAAGCCATTCTGCTTACTGAAAATCTGGGAGTGGAAGGTCCATTGCGAGGTCTACATATATATGGTTTAAGATTGAAACTGGATCACTTACCAGAGTAGCCAACCTTGATGTCCCTCCCACTCGATGTACGGTCATGTTCCACATTTTTTCCCCGTTAAGAAGTAACCTCGGTACGGCAATACGTATGATAGTTATATTATTATTAATTATTATATATATAATAATTAACTATTCCACCGAACGGGAGGAGCAATACGTGCGTGCCAATTAAACAAGTACAGCCATATTTTCTCCGGTGGTGGAAGAGAATCGGAGCGCTTTCTTCCCCTATCTGCAGCACATATATGCTTATAGAACCGGATTCAAAAAGAATAGAGTGCCATCGTTTTCCATCTCTCTTGGTTACAGTTTGATTGTGGGCGAATAGCTGTAACAAGCGTTCCAGTATTGGTACATTTCAATAATGTACGGTCATCGAATCCTAACTTTAACGCATTGGTGTTTGTACAGAAAATATCGATTGAATTTTTAAGAGGATTGGAAAGTTGGCGTCGTCGGGTGAGTTCTTCAGCAGTTTGACTTCCCGCTTGTTTTCAAGGTTAGGGCATAGCAACGATAGGGTCCTGACGCGTCAACCACTGTACCAGAAATACCCTTTGCTGGTTTTGAAAAATGTTCTGGGTTAACCGACGTGTAACAAAAAAAAAACGATTTTTTTATTACCCGTTTGGCAACTAAAAAAGAAGAAAGTCGACGTGACCACCCCCGCGCTGTATCTTTAGCAGTAGTCTTACCTGTTGATTTTTACCTGTATTTTATTCTCCTTTCGTCTCTTATAGTCGAAGCCATTCTTAACGGTGACAACGTGATTCATTATCATTGTGTTCAGAAGGATTACTAAAAAAATAGTGCTATCTCGTTCTCGATATTCCGTAGGCGAAGAACGAAAGAATCTTTGCTATGTGCGGAAGAATAGATTGCCTGATCTACGTGTAATCGTATGGGACATACGACAGCAAGTATTCGCTCGAGTACGTGGTATGGGTGCTGCCACTCGTAGACTATAATTATAAGCTGGTTTATTGCAAAGGTAGGACGAAGCCGTTCTCGTCACGTATGCGCTCTCGTCGTCCCCCGTCGCCTTGGGCGCTTTTCGGATCTTTTCTTCGCAACTCCTCGGAGCTACGAGGAAATTTCGCAGAAATGATCGACGCGAGCTCCAGGTCGCTCGCAATCGCCGAATACACTCTTTGAGAAATTAAGAGCACCGTCGGGCGATGCCACTGGTGCTTTGAAAGTCGACATTAAACGCTCTCTCCATTAATCTCCCTCTCTCTGTACCGCGACTGTCGCGTCTTCTTCAAAGGGTGAACTGCCCGCGGAAATCTAAGTATTATCTGCGAACGAACCTATCCAAGGTGTAACAATCGTTTGGAACGCCTAAAAATTTATTATAAACATAGATTATAATCATAGGTAAATAAATTGGTTTTTAATATATAGTTTCTAAGCAAGCATCTGCTTTCTCAATAAACTACGCCTATTAATATATACAATAGTACAAGAAACATCCTCAACGAAAGAATAACATCGAAAGAAGCCTATATATAAGAAGGTCCAAAAACGTCATACTCGATACAGAAGGCTATAATTCGATACTCCTCCTTTAAACACGTTATAACACCATATAGACTCATACTTCGCGCACACAATATTGCCGCGTTTTATTCCCTCGTTTTCCTAGCAATATTATGAAAGAGATGAACAATGATTCTATTTCCAAATAAAGAATCAATAATTTCGCTTCGACTAGAATCTCAACAGGGAATATTTTTTGTAATAGTACGTATAGTCAAATCTGAAAGAAACTATTATCAGTTATGTAAAAAAAATATCGTAACTGTTGCTTCTTTTGAAACAATGATTAATTAAAAAAAAAATTAGTAATATACACATGTGCAAAATTGACTGACCAAAATTACCAGGTCATCTGTACTAAGAGAATGATATCTTTAAAATATATCAACATAAAATATGTAGTTATTATTTTATCATTTATTTTATAATTCGAGATTAATATCTTGCAGATTCGACCGAATCTCAAGAGTCGCGGGAATTCTCGAGAAGAGAATCGAGGTCACTCGGATGTCGCAAAAGTAATGACGAAATTAATGTTTCAGCATGGGTGGGTGCATTAAGTGCAGCGGTCTCACGTGGGCTGGCTCCCTTCGTCGTCGGGGTGTGTCACTTGGCGAGCACCAGACTCGTCGCCGTGTTCGGTGGCCTCTTTCTGGCACTCGCATCCCTCTTCACCTCCTTCTCCGTGCAGATGCACCAGGTCGTCTTCAGGTACGTTTACTCCGGACGAGAATCGATCACGTTTTCCGTCAAGGCCGCAATCCTTGGATTCACTCGTGCTGACCTATAGGACTTTGCGCATCTCAAGGGAGACCCTATTGACCCAATCCTCGTGAAAAGGATGTAAGGATATAGACACGAACAGCCATTTTCCAATGTTTCACTTTTCATCCCAAAGGTTAATATTTACTTGTTTATAAATTCACCACATCTAAACGAGCGCCCCAAATTCAGCGAACCGAATTGACTCACGTATATATGTTCACTCATGAGAGGGCAAAAGATGTCCGAATATTTGATTCATGTCTGGCTGTTGACTGTTACAGTCTCGGGATAATTGTTTTTGGTTAAATGGAGTGCACGCCAAAGCAATGGCCCTGGGACTCTAGGGGCAAATCATTGAGGTATTTGTTTCAATATTCCGTTCAAACGATCAGACGTTATTTTTTAAAGTAATCAATATTGAGATCCTTAACCGCGCGGAGAAACGCGATTCTGTGTAATTCAGGATAGTAATGGTGATTAATATTTGGATTATCAAAAGTACTAGATAGTTGTTTAAGAATTTACTCTCTTTAATTTAAAAGAAAAACTGTACAAAAACGATCATTTTTATTTCAAAATTATTCTGAGACGAAGTTTCAAGGTGTACCGTTAAACCGAAAAAGGTCAAAATACAACGAACACGAGAAGCTTCCTGGAGAGAGGAAAGAGATATTCTTAATGGCGCAACTGATGGGAAGGGTTCAAGATTTTCCTATATACATGGATGTGATTTTTGCATTTTTTTTATGCAAGACTGAATTCGCGCGTTCGAGTCCCGTGATTCATTTGTGGATCCCTCTTAGACTTCTGAGCCAGAAAGACCATAGTATGATGGAGGTCGCAAGAAGAGATATCTCGTTAAGCAAAGGACCTTCAGAGGTTCCCAGAGAACCAGGAAGGTATGGTATCTGGATCTCTCACTTCTTTGTCGCGTTCGAAGATTCGGAGTCATCCTGAAGGAATTTTCTCTTCCTCGCTCCGAGAAACTCGAGAAGTCGTTCTTTATTTTCTCTCAAAAAAGAAATAAAATGTGAACCGATCAACGATAAGAATTTAGCTACCAAATTATTTTTAAAGTAACGCATCACTTTCCTGACATTTACATTTATATATACAGCTATGTTGTACTAAGTTGAGTAACGTATGGAATGGCACACTCCATGTGTCGTTTCAATAAAATAATTATACAGAAATCGAAGTAAAACTCAAGAAATCCCCTGAATTTATGATTTTTGATACTTAAATCCATTACGGCGCCATCTGTTGCAACCAGTGGCAACTAAATTTTTAGTCCTCGAGCTCTTACAGAACGCGTGTTCGTAATGGGATAACCGGAATTTTCCCTAGTATGTATATAACTTTTCGGGACATTTCCCGTATGAATCTGTAATGCTCGATTACTCTAGTATTCTAAATTGCTATACCTAGGTCCTGAAAGTCATCGTTTTCTATTCTGAGCTTTGAAAAAGAATAAAATATCAAAAATATGTGTTGACAACCCCACCTTAGTTCTAGTTGCAAAAAAATACAAATTTTTTCAGTGAAATATCTTGGATGTCAAGACTTTCCTTATTCACGTTCACCGTGCACCGAATCGTTAGTAGTTTCAAACGATTCGGTGCAATCGGATCGGAGAATAATTTTATAAATCATTTGACGCCTGGGGGATCACTCCCATCACCTTAAATTCTCACATACCCGTGTCACCGTGTCAAGTCAAAGCTATATCTGAAAACCCCGAAAGGGGAGACCGTGCGCGAGTCCGAATGTCCCGGGGGTTAAAGTTAGAAGGTCGAATCGACGTAAGAGGACTCGTGCACCCTCGTGGGTGCACTTGGCTCGCTGAAGACGGGGAAGTCTCCTTACTTTCCCTTAAACAAGAGCGCAAGCTCTCCAAGCCGGGTGTGCGCGGCCACGTGATTTACCTTTGCAAAATGCAACAGCTACGGTCTGGTCCTGGGCGCAGCCGCCGGGATGGTGCGGGAAACTGCCGGCCTGGTGCTGGGCCATTACTTCAGGAAACGGAGGGAGTTCGTTGAAATGGTGGTGCAAGCCGGCACGGGGGTGGGAATAGCTCTCTTCAGTGTCTTCTATCAGGAGGCCGTGGGGTAAGTTACTACTTATTACCGAGCCCAGGCATGCAATGGATCCAATAGGAATGTTCAATTACGGGTCCGAGTCATATCGAGAAAATCACCTCCCGTCGACGTTTCCTCCTCGTGATACCGTTACATCTGTTGATTCTCTCAAATCATAACTCCAATCTGTAAACCAAATTTTGCTCATGGAATGCAAATATTTCCAGCAACGCAAGATTGTGGTTTCTAGAGTGCTTGGCTCTAAGTAGGAATTGAAAGACTCTTTAAGGCTCTTGTAATGCGTTTCGATATTTCAGTCTTTGTTTTTTATTGAACCGAAAGAAACAGATTTATGAAATTGCGTGAAGTCTGAACGCCTTAGACTTCGTGAAAATAAATCTTAAATAGAAGCTACGTATGACGTAACTATTTTTATTCTGCGCAATGCAACGTGTTCAATATTTAGGTAGTAGTTCATAACATTTCATATTCCAACATTTCAAATGAAAATCAACAAGAAGATTGTGAGAAGGAACATTATTTCTAAATGTATTTTTTTGACAATGGAGTGCTCGTTACGCGTGATGGGGAAAATATGGCCGCCCTGTTCAATTGTGTTCATGCTCTTTAGTTAGCGTACCTGCCTGTATTTAGCCGAAACACATTTTCAACGGAGGCCAATCAAGAACGGTACTTATCACCTACAGTATAACTCACTATTTTTCTCATATCCACGCTTACCAAATTCACTCGATTGATACGGATAAATCTCCGCGCAGCATACTATACAGGATGAATTTAAGGAAAGTGTACCTGGGTCCGTAATAAAAAGGTTACTAAACATGGTAAGAACCACTCTTGGGTGATCACTACTAAAAAAATTGCTCATTACGCACCTAAATGTCTGTCTTACCATAAAGCTGTGAGAACCATTTCTGGTTAATCACTGCTGACAACATGTGCGCGTTACATACCTGTCAACCATAAAACGCGAGTGCAAACAATTAAGGCAGTCTTTCTTTTCTTCTTTCTTCATTTTATTGGCCTCCCGTTATCAAATAAATACAATAAGAAATCAACTCGAGGCTTTATTCTACAGTGTACCTACAGAGTGCTTCGAATGGCGCTCTGATTACAATAAATGTTACAAATAATAGGCAAAATGAATAAATTAACGAGATAAGTTATCCTACTAAATATTTAAATTTTACCAACCTAAGTTTTCCGTTGTTATTTCTTTTCCATAAAAATTGGAAGTCTTTTACCGAAGACATTTCTTTCTCCCGAGTTATGGAAAAAAAATTGCCGTACTGTGAACAATTTTAGACCGATTTCAAAAGATGCTATCACACTTTACCGACCGGAAGCCTATTAATCGGTTTTGCGATACCCGTGATCGCCATTTACTTCCAAATTCGCCGGTCGGTAAAGTGTTAAGTATAATATCCTTTTGAAAGAATTCACGAACCTATATCACAGCCTGGATTGTGCTTGCTCACTCTTAACTCGGGGGCGTAGACTTCACAATCTCATCGTGCTATTACACGATTCCATAAGAAAGACTCAGAGGTGCCGCAAGGGAAAGAAATAAAAATGTACTCGTGCCTGGAAGCGACGTCTCACACGGAACATAAAAAGGCTTTTGCCAGGATACTTCCAGAAGGGACCGCGGTCGTTAAGATACCCTCTATGAGAAACACCTATTGAACATTCCCGATCCAACAACGAGAACCTTGCAAACTACCCTTCGATACAGCGAGGGAAGAGAATCTGTTTATAACTTGCAGTAATAAAATTATTCTGGTTAACGATATAATTTGATGTGTATTATTTTAATTTTTTGGTATCACCTATGGCAGTCAGGACCACAGCCAAGTGGTGAGACTTTAATGTGTGCAGTATTACTTATCAGCCTATTTTTGCGTGTCAGATAAAAACTATTTTTTATTTATCCTGCAGACCATTTTGAAATGTATCAGGATGTTTTATCCCAAGGGAAGGATTAACGCGCGGAAGCGGACTTAAAGTTGAACACCAAAATCCGCTAAGAGCTTTCCATCAGAAACCAATATTATAAAGGTCTACCATGGGAGACAGCGCGAGGGGGTACACAGGTGGTTTTCACCCCCAATGGAACGGTCCGGACACCGTAATATCTCCATTTGCGATGCCGACATCTCAAAGCCCTTTCTCTCCTATAATTCAATTCGATCAACGTCTTCGTTTTATTCTTAAAAAGAAGGAAAGAAGGCCACGCCGAGGTAGAACCACCATCGATTTCTGGGTAGGTCACGGTCGCTTTAAAATTCATTTATTCAATATAATTCCGCATTTCTGAGTGTTACTAACTTCATATCGATTTCGAAGGAATAGATTCAAGGAAACTCGGTGAAATTGAAGGTAGCGACTTATATTAATGAGGATGTATTTTGGCGAAATCGCAAATGGTACTTTCGGTCAACCACTCGAAATCAGTTGAAATGTAATCGAAGCTGGAAAAAAATAATATCTGGGCTAAAAACTTGAAACTGGTGGCACAACACGTATCTTTTGAATTTTTATCGAACGGTGCACTTTTAAAAAATACCACGGCAGGTTTCACAATCTTTTAAATAACAGCTGTGCTAAATTAAATTACCATCAACCGTGCTTCGTATATTGTACCTCGCTGCCAAAATATTCGCAAGGGTCGCTTAATTGACTATACCGCAACGAAAGTGAAACGCGGGGGATGCATAAATATCTTGAAAAGAAAAAGGGAGGAATATTCCGGAGGAGCCGGGAATTCAGGAGCCGAACCAGGCCGAGACGATTGCCGTAAATCGCAGGCATTTTCTGGGACTCGTCGGCGAGGTTTCCGGACGACAGCCGTGGTATTACTTCCGCATGCAGCCGGGGGGAATCGCACGTCGTGGTCGGCCAATATCGAAATGGAGCTTACCTTCCGGCATGCGAGAGAACAATCGGCTTCGTAGCTCCGCAAATTGCCGACTAATGATGCCTACGGACTTAAAGCCTGCGGCAGTAATAACGCCTCTCGCGACTTTCATCCGTTTTAATCCCATGCGCTCCGAAATCCCGGATTTATCCATTCTCGGGATTCCGTCCAGCCATTACGTTACCCCGCGCTGAGAACGAAATCCAGAAAAACCGAGATATTCTGCAGGTAAATGTACACTAATCTTGGTCGGTTGATGCGCCCTTTTTTGACCCCCAAGTGAGATGGTTGATGAATTAAAATGAATATGGCTTAAGGGGGCCAGGCAGTGAAAATATGCCGAAAATGGAATAAAATTCAAATCGCATTTGTGAAGAACCGAAACAACATACATACATTTTCTTTTTTTACAACGTTTTTATTGGAGTTTTGGCTACTAAATTCAGTGATTGAGGTTCCAAAAATATTAATATTTAAAAGAGATATGGGCGGATAAAGAAGACCATGCATCTCATGCCCTGTTCTTTCATTGCCACGATTCTGAGTGACCGGTTGAAGTTTTCGGCAATTCCCAAACACCATTCTCTTCAGGGGATGTTCCTCCACAGACTGAACCTACAATTTTTGAGAAACTATAAAAATTAAAGAAATAGCGGCAAAAATGTGAAAAACATCGAAAAACGGATGTTATTTGTTGTAATATCGATAATAATCAATTGATTTCATATATTTTACGGTTCATTTTGTAGAGAAAGTTGATATCATCATTTTAACATAAAATCATGGCGATATCTTCAATTGTTCTTGTGTTATCGCGGCAAAACTAGTACAAAATGCTATTTATATATATTAAGATATAGAAAAACGCGTTTAAATTCTGGCGCAGTACTACGGCCAAAAGATTGAAACTTACGTACGTTAAAAATTGCCGGCGCTGTAGAAGGACTTCTTGAGTTCAGCTTTTTCTGTGCTTCTTTTGTCGATGCTTGCGATCTTTTGTCTGCATCTAACAAGCGCTCCTGGTCACGTAACCTGGTCATCATAACATCCAGCAAACTAATCGAACCCTCAGCGGAGTATTGGAATTTGATTGCTCTCCTGAGCTCAATTTTGTAAATTTTTCAGTTTCCTTTGCGTCGAAATGTGTGGAAGCGATTGTAGTAACAGAATACAAAAAAAAACGAAAAAATTCGAGATTTTCCGATGCCTAGTCTCCTTAACAGCGGGTAGATTTTTGAATATACGAAATACTTTGTACATCTAGATAACCCCAAGGTTAATTTGTTAACTTGTGCAGAAAATAATGTACCTATGAATCTTTTCTATCGTAATTAAAGTTGATTTTCACCGAAATACAATGTTTTGTTTGTGCCGAAAACGCAATAACAATATTTATGGAGTTAATAAATTTTACGTAAAATATAAACATCTTATACCGGTACTGGTAATAACAAAAGAAAGTAGAGTTCATAACTGACTTTATAACAAATTTACCTGAATCGGCTGAATTGACTGAAATTCACTGCAATAAGAAAAGCAGGATAACGGCAACGTCGCGATAAAAATGAACCATAATACCTACTCATAGGAAAATTGGAGCCAGCTCACGATTAGATGTACATAATTTCCGTATCTGAATTAAGCGCTTGAATTATTCGGCGCAACAAAAAAGAAGAACGGGAAAAGCAGCGGGACGATAGTAATTAACTACAGTTTAAGAGCTGAAAAAAAGTGCAGAGTAATAAGTATCGAACAGTATCTACGGAGAACAACAAAGAAAACTGGAAGACAAAAACCGTTACAAAAGACAGAATGAGAAATTAAAATAGGAAAATAAGAGATCATATTCAATACTAATAATTACTTAATATATCTAATAAAAATTGTAATTTAACCAAATAATTCAAATTAGACAATATCACTTGAAAGAAAGAAATGTCAAAAAAGAAAATATAAAAACTCAATAAAACATCGGCAACTTTCGGGCCCAAATGGACAACTTAAATAATAGACGGTACAAGGTAAAGGATGAAAAATATAAAGGTGAACAGTAAAATAGGAAAATGAAACATATCAGTCCTAATTCTCGCTTGTATCGAAATGAGACAAAAATCTGTTCTCAGCATTACAATTGCTAGATCTAATCAAATTTCGCGATTCGTGCGGATTAAGTTCCGAAAATAAAGAAAGCGAAAGGGTCGATGATAAAACAATGAGATACTAGACACCCTCGGCCGTGGCCGGGAAATCCGGGTTTATCAGAAAAGTATGGAATGGAGGCCCGTAGTTAACAGGGGCAAGCCGAGCAGTCATTAGCCACCGGAATTTATTAAGAAATTCAATCGAAAATTCATGCAAATTTCATTAAAGATTATCCACGAATAATTAAGGAAATTGCGCTGTCGAGTTTTGCGAGACTTCAGGGAACGCGGAAACAAATATGAGACAAATTTTCTGACACAGGATCATGCAAAAAAAGAGAAAATGTGTGAATAACAACGAGTAAACATAATTCTTTCTATTGTTAACGGAAACATTTTTTACGATTTTCATGATATTTTACATTATTCAGTAAATACTGAATTTGAGAGCCGCGCACGAAAAACATTGAAGTTGACAAGAACCGGACTGGCTGCTGTAAGAAAAATTTGTGGTTAAACGTACCAATTTTTAGAATTTATAATTCGATGTTGCGTTTCCACGTATGACTTTTACTCGATATTGAAAGACGAGCTGGTCGTTGAATTCGCAAACTGGCGTCCTATTCCAAAAAGTCTCGTTAGTTCGAAGCAACATGTGACTGCTTTCATTTCGCGTTGCGCAGCCAGCTCTACAAGTTTCAGCAGCATTTCGATATAGCGCTCTCGTCGGACCTAGCCCCTTTCTGCATTGCGGCAAAAATGTGTAACTTGCCTTCGCGAAATTCCATCTCTCACTCTGCGTTCATTCATCTTTCCTCGTACTCTCCTTCCCGATCTAAAGAAAAAAAGAAAGAAATAAGCCGACTTGAGAATCATTCCTACAAACCTTAACCGCATAGAGACGTGTTCGTAAAATCTATCAGAGTTGAGTTCGAATCAGAGAATGAAATAAATGGTCTATTCTGCTCACGGTGAAAAAAGGGGAAAGATCATGGAAGCGAAAATGTTATCTATGAGAACATAAATGCGACTTGACGTACTAGATGTATTTGGGTTGTAACGGTTGGAGATTTCCCTGAGAGAGGGACTTCTAAAAAAACTAGGAGACAAACCAATGAGAATAAACGGGGAAGTCTAAAAGGTCTCTATATTAATCAAACAAGAATAGACAAATAAATAAATAAATAAAGTAAAAAATTGCGCAAATTATAAATAGAATAAAAAGAGACCGAGACCAATACAGAAACGAACTTAAAAGAATAAATAACAAAATAATCGCGCTAACGGAAAAGATAACGATAGAAGAACAACTAATTTAAAAATAAAACGCTACGCAGGAATAAAAAGATAAATAAACAGAAAGGCGAATTACAAAGACAAATATGACGAGAACGAGACGCATCAACTAAGTAACAATGTTAGAGAGAGAGAGAGAGGCTTATTTTTCTGGAGTTGTACGAGGGATCGTCAGTGCGGCAGTAGAAGGGATTGCCTTTTTAGCAATCCGACGATTTTACTCCAATTAATATTACTTCGTCAGGCTTTGCAGGAGGAACGTTATAATGTCTGGCCAGATCGTGCGTCCACGATCGGAATAGAGTTCCTCAAATTTCTGGCAACGGCCTTTGACAAAAGCAGCCAACTTCTATCTCGTAAACGGAACACCTCTGAGCCTCTTGGTTCCCTCTCTCTTCATCCCTCCCTATTTCTCCCTCCATCTCTCTCTATTTCTATATTACTTTATTATCTAGATACATTAAGAATTACCACTACAGGGTGACTTTACCCACACGTGTATGACTTTACCCGAAAAGAAGTAAAACAATACCCCGTGTATAAGAAACGTGCATCTTCCAAGACTTGCAAACGCGAACGGGTAAAAGCCTCTATTTGATATCTCGAGGAAAACGTTGCGAAAAATACCACGTTAACCTTAAGTGGAACATTTTAAATTCACCCCAGCGAGATGCGGATCTTTGTGTGTATACGCTCACATAGCCGTTGACTTTGGCGAAACCTGGGAAACCTCTTTCCCGTGTAACCGGCTGCTGAACGAAATTGAATCGCCATACACGCTCGTTTCAACCGGGCACCTTCGATTTGGGTGTAGATACGTGTAAGATCTAACACACGCCAAATTGCATCTAAGAAAAGGTTTGATCTCACATCGAGAAAAGCACCGACACGAATACCGAGCTTACACGAGCTTACAGGTAAAAATCGCTCGAAAGTTCAAGCTCAAAAGAACAAACGATTGTCCCCTCTGCTTTATCAGTAGACAGAAGATGCATTGGTGGTCTCTGGAGAAATTGCACTGTCTTAGACGTGAAATCCGTTGGTTACGGGATAAAAGATCACCCGGAGCAAGATGTCCGAAAGAACGATGGTTGCCCTGTGCAAAAGGTGAAAATGGGATCCCTATACCTAGATAGAAGGAAGTTTTATTGACAAAATAATCTTGTTCTCTTATTAAATGTGATATATTGTTTTAGTCATTTGATTTGAGACGGTAATAATACTCATTTTGAAGGAATATATTTATATATAATGAATAAAAATGGCCGCCCTATAAGATTTTAAAATTGCACACAATAGTAGGTGAGAATTCTCTGTAAGTTAAAAGTGTCTCGTATGTCCTTCCCAAAGCTGTTAAAATTCAACAAGATCGATTTGTTTATCTGATACATTTTGTTAAGATGATCATGTGTTCCTTGATGAAATAATTAAATACATATATTATGAGAAGCAAAGGCGATGAACCTTGTGTGCGCGACCTCCAGCGGAGCCTTATACGAAAGTTCATTTTTGCAAGCACGGACGCTTGTCCTATTTACTTCAGCTCTTGGCAGAAGGTGCGTAGGTGGTCTCCGGAAAAATTGAATCGCCCGATGGAACGTGATCCCCTTGGTTATGGGATAGAAAATCGCTCCACGGATAGAAGTCTTGCTTGAAAGGATCGACTCTATATAATGTCCGACTGCAGAATGCACGGGAAAACAGGAGAGGTTCGCCTTACCAACAGAAGACGTATCTTTATGAAGACCATTCTTTATAAAAGCTGCAATCCATGACAAAATTTCACTCAACCGGTTTCTTCTTTCTCCCGTATCAATCTGCAATAATTCTGCGTTCTACAAGCGTTAAAATCTCCGTTATTGATTAGATACATCGAAAATCACCCTTCTTTAGGGATAAATGTTTTCAAAATGTTACACAGGTTTTTAAATCCTTGAGAAATCCTTTAACATAATAGAATTTCTCATTTTATACGTTAAATTGAACATTTTCATTATAGAGACCGACAAATGATGCCTCTATCAACTTGTTTCAAATATTCTAATTTTGTCCCTGTGAATGATATTCCATAAAGTATCGAAGAGCGATGACGGTAATGGCCGCATTGAATAATATTGCTTATTCCTTTTGACTTCTCGCCCGCCGAAAAAGCCTGTTTGGGTTTACGATTATTTTTTCCTCGCAATGAGGATCGACGGTTCCAAATATGATAATCATGCTTGATGAATGTTAAGTAACTTCCAATCCCCCAGGGATCTCCGCTTAAAATGTTCAATCGAAACCATTGCAATAATTACCGAGATCGGTCAGTTTCACACATTTCAATACAAATATCCAAATGTTTTCAAAATCATTCGCAAAGTGAAAGACCTCGGATTTTACATTTCTGTGGACTTCACATAGAAACATCGACAACAATATTTTTTACGATTTCAATAAAATATCACACTTAATCACACGTCATAAACTTTAGTCATTAAATAAGATTTAAAATTTCCACCAAAGTTAGCACTATGTCGTCAAAAAATTAGTCTCTTTTACCTAAATACGAAATCCTCGAAGTTTCTTTTACCAGTCTCTAAAAACGATTAAAAAACCAAGCTATCGTTTACATTGCGGCGTCGCGCGACCATCCTTGAACTCCTCGGAATGTGCTCGAGATCATTTTGAAGTATGGAATTACCACTTCGTTTTTGATAGAACCATCGTTTCAGGAAACTTGGCTGGAGATACGGCCTGCAGTGCGTAACGGGTGCCCTGTGCGTGGCGTTCTTCCTAGGCCTGATCTACAGGAATGCCTCCATCTATCATCCTCAACGCCGAGCCATCGTCCACCTAAAGAACCAAAGGAACAAGGTCAAGGAGAAGAAGTCGAGCTCGAGGAGTTCTAAGGAGCCTTTCCTGGATCTGAGTCCACTGGGAAGCCGACCTGTCCGAATGCTCATGCTGGCATCGGGGGCTGCAGGCTTCGGACTCTACACGCCAGCCTTCTATATCGTGAGTTAATATGTACGCGTGTCCGATCGATCCCGTCATAGGTACCATAATGGTGATACCGTTGCGCTCCTTTACGTCCTGCCCGATCGCAAATCCCTAGTAAACCTGATTGGGCCGAATATTTCACATTCCCCGGTTGATCGAGTCGGGAAATCATCTTGAAATAATACTTACCATTAGACACCCTCGGGGGTGAAACGGAACTAATGCCTAGCAACAATTAGATCGCCAGCGAGATTAACTTAAAAGAATCGATAAGGTGATTAGAAGATTTTTCACCGTTTTCGCTGTTCATCCATGGAACCAAATGAAATTTACGTCGCGTATTCGAGTATCAACCATTGATTATATATAAGCGAATGGAACATTACCGAAGTAGGACGGACGTGTATTTAAATTTATCCGGGAATTGAATTTTCTCTACACGTCGACAGTATCGTGATTCCACAGATATTTACGCTCGATCGATCCTGCCGCGAGCATAATAATTGCAGCACTATTATGGTACTCCGCATTCCACCCGGCTGCGAATCACAGGAAAATTTGATCGGGTTGAGCACTACGTATTTCTGACTGGACGTTACACCATAGCGAAACGAGCTCGAATCAACGCTTCTTTTGAAACATTTGAAACGTAACAATTTAAAAACCTCATTTAAAAGGTTGAAACGGTGTGTCGAAAATACAACTGTGTGGCACTAATCGCGTCAGTGAAAAAAAAATATTGTTGGTTTCCAAAGATTTTTAACAATACGGCTCAGTCAATCTTCTGGTCACGAGTACTCATTTACAATGACTAGATCTTATATATACCCGGATGAAGAATCACTAAACTGCCCATCTGTAAAAAATTGAATTCGCTTATGTTCTAATATAGGAAATAAATGTTCTCGACGCACCAGCTCTATCGTAATTTGGCAGAATGTTTACCCAAGCCCGATCGATTCTGCCGTAAGCATAATAATTATGGCAGCGTTGCGGCACCTCGCATTCAGGTTGATCGCAAACCCCGGGAAGGCCTGATTGAATCGAGCTCTTTTGGGCTTCTCGACCAGACACTACCTCGTAGCGAAACGAGCTTAATCGACGCTTGCCTTCGCAAATTTCAGAGGCGACAAATTAGAAAACCTGATTGAACGAACTCGAACCTCATTATGTCAAAAAAACCTCTGAGGCGCCGGTCATGCCTATAAAATATTAAATCAAGAAAAACATTTTCCACCATCTTTCAAACTTACGTCCCTGCACCATCCTTATGCTAGAAGGAACGCAGGGGAAGAAATAAACTCATTTTTCATGTTCTACAACGAATAAATTCATTCTACGGGAATTTGCCCCGATGGAGATAATCTCGGTTAGATGAATTAACGCGATCCGATAGGAACACAGAAACCCGGCGGTCACGGATCGGCCGCAATCGCGTTAATCCCTTGATCTACTGACAGATCGGACTGCGGATTTAATCCAAATTAATTCCCTTTCTAAGTTCTGCCTACCCTTGCAAGTCGTGATAGGATTATAGGCGCAAACGGCATCTGTTAACCAGTCTAGTTAAACGTCCCTTTTGTAAGCCCTCGTGCCAGGATCCGACCTACCAGTCATCCACCAAATCAAGCAGATCCGTGTATCACTAGCTAACGAATCCCTTCGACGCAGTTCCGTGAATTCCGTATTATTACCGCGAAAGCTATACCGATAATTATGCTTTGGGCTTTGACGAATGTGTGCGTCTGTTAACACATGTGCCATTTAAGTGTACTGCGCCCCCCCCCCCCCCAGGGCGGTTAGATATTAAAAATCATTGTTCCATTCCATCCACGTATATTTGCAATCGTTTACCGCGTATACGTATATAAATATGTATATGTACCGCATCGTTATATCGTGCTAATAAGCTGATTTACCCCCTAATGAGCTTCCCTACCTATGATAATCTCGTCTAGACCACTTACTGTGAATCCAAGGATAGGACGATCCCCAATTACGCGTAATGACAATAACCGCTCGAATCCTTTAACCCCCTGGCTCATCAGGATTACCTGTTTGATCTGAATCAATTCCCTTTCTAAATTCTGGCTTCTTTGCGATTTGCATCAAGATTATAGACATAATCGGTATCTGTAAATTAAAATAATTAAACGTCGCCTTTATAATTGCTTGTACCCAGCTTAAAGTTGTTACCGATACCTACACCGATGGAACCAGGTCGAAGCTTAATAACGTAATGAGAGAATCTTCGATGGGTTATCGTAAATCCGGAATTACCATTATGAATAATTTAATGACCCGCCTACACTGCCAATAACGAGACTCAATTATGTTCATTGACACGTATACCTATTTAAATAAACCGTACACAAAGAATTACTCTTTAATTTCCCACCCGTGCACTTGAAACAGTTTATAGCTTACAAGTGTCGCGACGTTATTGCATATTGGCAAAAACTAAGTTTACGTCTGAGAGATTTACTTCTGGTAATCTGGACTAAATCTGATTACCTACAACCGGCAACTTATTAATGGGATTTATTTAAACATCATTCTTGTAAACCCATGTAGCTGGCTTGAATCTGGTTGACTAATTGAAGGAATGCCTAGTCAGTACTATCGATTAATGAATTGAAACAACGCAATATGTTGGGGACTGGCAGGTGGCAGAATTCCGGTATTAGGATAACGATGCAAAGCCAATAATTAGTGCTTTATTCCATTCCCGTGAAGTCCGAGACGCATCTCTGCTCATCAGTTCCAATTAAAATCGATTGCAGTCCAGATTTAAAGCTGCGCTAGCAATTATCTTCCCGGAAAGTACGTTAATGTGAAAATTCCTTTAACGGGAATAATCGCAATGATGTCAAGAGCACAGAGAGTAAGACAGAATTTAGTGCACCGACGCTGCGTTCTCATTTCGCAGAATTGCGAATTCACCTATGACGTAAACTCGCCAGGAATTCTGAGATTCTTCAAAACTATTAAAGGTTCTATTGTTTAACGCCATTTCAACTTTCAGCTGGAAATATCGCACGCGGATTGAGTACAAAATTGTATGAACGGCGGACTTCAAAAAAATCTAAACAACATCAATCTGTTATAAGCCCTATATTTCTGTAACGAAACTTTTCTTAATTTGAAAATGACCTTTGAAACCCAAAATAAATTCTATTACACGTTTGCAACATTTTTTAAAAGTACATTATTCGCAACACAGTGTTCCATACCTTTACATCCACTAATTTTCTTCTACATTACAATAATCTATTATTCAATTTAAAATATAATTTAAATTTGATACATACTGTTTGTATGTTACAGGAATATAACCCACCGAGTGTCCTTTCATAATACATGCTAATAATTTGCGTTAACACCCTTCAATGATTTCAGCTCCGTAATCAATTACTTCTCATTGTCAGTATCAACTCTAAAGATCGATCACGATGTTCTTCATCAGGGTAGATAAACGTAATTAAGATGTCAGTTACTTTACCATTCATCTAATCTCTTCCTTTACGCATCACGATAACAAAAAGTGGCAAAAAACGGAAAACAAGACGTAATGTAGGTACCCTATAGTCCTGCTGGTTGGAACAGACGTACATGATATTTTCACTCCTCTATGCATTTACAAACCTTTATATGCTTACCATTCGGTATTCTTGTTAATACTCGCAATTTGAAAATACTAAATACCCGGTCGTATTTTCCAGGCTCTGCAAGGAAGTCAGGATGGTTTGGAGGCCAGTGCCCTGGTGCTGTTGCAAACTTGTTTGGGGTTGGCAGCGGCTCTCGGGTGCGCAGCTTGGGGCGTTGTTACCGCCAGACCATCCGCCCAGTGTTTGGTATCCAGACAATACCTCTGCCAAGTAGCTCTTCTCGGAGTTGGTCAGTATGCATTGTTGTAACTGGTCCTCGGAACGCCTCTTCGCCCATGCCGCGATATGGACGCTCCGATCTGGCTTCCATGGGCGAGAAGGCGGACGGGCGTGAATCCGAAAACTTCCCATAAACTGTACGAACGCCTTCCGAATAGTTAGAGGGTGAAGCTGCGTCGTTGAAGATGCGTCGAGGAGCAATAAAGATTCTTTACGCAGGTGACCATGAGTCTGACTTCCTGTGAAATTTATACTACCATGTTTTTCATGAATCGCGAAATCCACTTTGAAGAACGATCTTGAGGCTTGACCTATCTCGATTATTCGAAGTTCCAAAATTCGGCGACAAATTTGCCTGCAATTTATTCATCTATTATTCCACATTAATAAAGAATTTAGATATCAATAAATAAAAGAGATATCAGAATATCGGTTGCCTGAGTGAGCGCGAAACGACATTTTATAATGCGAATGAAACGAGATATCGAAAGCAATGAAAAATCAGTTTGCTTGCAATGAATATGTGCTTGATGAGTGGAGCTTTTGTAATCGCGGCGTGCGAATTATCAAGTGTTACATTGCAGATTAATTAGTGAAGTAGTTATTAATACCTCGGATTATGATTGATCGGGAACTGATCAATGCTTTGTGGATAATCGGCATTGTTGTTTGTTCACTGTGAGAAGGAAGTTTGACTAATGATTCTTGAATAAGTATCTTTTAATTCTGAATAGGGTGCGGAATAGCTTTAGAGAGATAATGGAGCGATTCGTTCACGGAATGCGGTAAATGTAACAAGCACGATCGATGGAAACACTTCAAGCCAGAGATCTTAAAGTTCCACCCTCGAGATACTGAAAATCGGGAAGGCAAGAATTTAAGGGAACAATTTGGTTCAAGTTCTGCGAAATATGACAACCCATACAGGCACTCTCCGCGGTTTGAAAAATGAAATTGCCGTCACGAAACCGTCGAGTTGTCGACTTTTCGCAACTTTTGTTTCAGCATTGCCGAGAGTTCCTTGCTCTTTCCCTTGAGAGAAACGCTTAGGAAGCAGGGCGCACGTGAGCTTTATCGTTCGCCTTTATTCCTCCTACGTTTATTTTCGAGGACGATCGTGAATCGTATCTGGAATTAGATGTTCGAATGCGCAAAAATCCCTCCTTCGTCAAACATAAACTGAACGATCAGAGAATAAAATTTCAGGCACTTTAAGATGCAAAATCCAACAAAATCTTGTACTTACCCGCGCCATTTCGTTTTGAATTATATAAATAACTTCAACCTGTCTGAAATACAAATGAGTGCTCCTGTTTTCCACCGTAGTTAACGACGCCATCGTTTTAAATCGTAAATAAAAATTCAATAAGCCAGGGCGCAACGTAGCAGGTACTTAATCTAGAAGCAATTGGTGAATAATTGAATATCAACATTGAACAAAGATCTACATGTTTACAAAATGAATATCGGAGAAGCCTTTATGCATATTCAACGAAAGAGGTGACTTCGCAACAGGAGGTGCAGAGCCACCCGTACTTCAATTCGCTCGGGGTATAGGTCCCGGTACTTCAGAATTTAATTAGCTATATATATGACCCCGGTGTCCAATTTCACGTTATCAGTGTCCTCGACCTAACCTAACGCGCACGTCGATAACACTCGACCGCAGATTGTAAACATATTTACATGTTGCATTAGTTTTTTATCTTTGGAAATATTACATATTTGTTGTATAGTAAATATTTTCTTTATGATATTTAATAAATTAACTAACATTCTTGCTCGTAATGTTTTTATCCGTGAACGATTATGGGTAACATTGTCCAATTAAATATGTAAACTGAACGTCATAATAATTGAATACCGTTATTTATCTCAAACATGTAATAATTAGCAGTCAATGGCAGGTGAATCTAACAAGTAAAATCCTATTATTAACGCAACGAGCGTGTCGCTAGAAACTTAAAAGCAATGCCAACAACTGTTTGATAAAGATAAAAGCAACAAAACACACGATTCTTGTAGATATAGTGGAAAGTCAAAATACCAAAGCTACAGTACCAATAACCACAATACCAATTCTATGTTTATAATAAATAACAAATAAACAATACATGTTACAACAAATAAACGTTACGATTTATACAACAAATATAGCAATTTTCAATCCTATTAAATAATGATATATTTTAACAAGAAATTCCTAGTACACCAGATCGTTTTCCATAAACTTTTAAATGGTCAAAATTTTGTTCCCTTTGAACTTGAATTGAAATCTAGTTATCGACCCGAAATTAACAACTGGTTCGAACAAAATGTCTTGAGAGACAGAAGCTATCAATTTCTCTCAGATTGTCACAAATAATCCTAATTTAAAATTGGAAAAGAGCAACGAATTGGTGCCAAAATGGTAGGTGTCGGTCGATTGTCTAAATGCGGTCTCTTTAGCCAGACCGGCTCACATTAACGATTTAGTTGGCGAGCCGCGACATTCGACCATTTCGCTAAAAGGGGTAGAATGGAAATACTTTGTGCCGCGAACGACCGAGGGTAACATAAAATGCAAAGCGAAGCATGTGCAAGTAACACTCGAAGAGTGCGACTTCAAAAGAGGTGAGAACGTTGAGGAGAGTCCACGGGCTTCGTGCAAGCCGTGCTGAAAAATGTGAGCTACGCTCTCGAAGTCTAACACTTGCTTCCTCGCTCACTAGTTTACCACCGGATTCGTGAAAATACCATCATTTTGCATCCAACACCCGCTGAGGAATAAGTATTGCTTCGCACTTCATCTCTCTACGTGAATAAAAAATTCGTTTCGATATTTCTCAAATTGCCATTGCATTTTTTATTGCAAGCCCGGCGTAGCGCGACACAGTGAAAATTCGAGGGCGTCACTTTTCCACGATCTATCGTTTGTAAATATACATGTGCAATTTTAACGCGTTGTTTTTAATTCCACTGATTTTCCGCAGATGGATTGATCCAAACTTGCAATAAACAAAAATCATCAATTTTCAAAAATTAACAGATTTAACCTCGATAAAAGTTTTCAAACTTGTATCGATGCGCGTTGTTTAATCACAGTCTGTGCACGGAAATTCATTTTATTTCCGTTATTATATCGGTTAAAATATAATTAAACGTTTTCATCAACCAATGGACTGACTCATGTCTCATTTGAATTTTCGTAAGATTTTGGTGTACTAATTTTACTCAAGGCACGCAGTTAGACATTAAATTATTGATCGATACAGCCTTTAAATGACTTTACAGAATGACATACTTTGATGTGAACACGCCGGAACTAATAAATTAGAATTCGCTTAAATTGCTCAGGATTAATTTTCACACTTTCTAAATTAGTGTTGCTTAAGGGGCTTAATGCTCTAGACGGATTTCTTCCTCAAGTACGCCTTGTTATGTACTGATAGAAGAACGAAAGATGGAATTCGTTAATTTTAACGTGATCGTGTCAAAGTTGTGATTTCTTTAACATTTCAAAATTACCTTAAATTCCGCAGTTCGGGCGAGTTCCACATCACCCCGATGAAAAAATACGTCATATTAAATTGCATAATTTATGGTACGTACAAAGAATAGGATGAAACCGTAAATACGAAGAAAATATAATAATTGCTATTAAAATTCACATAAATCATATAAAAATCCATTTTAGTTTTTTTAATTTATACGGTAAGAAGATAAATTGAGAGAGCATTGTTTATACAAATACTTAATTCGACTTACTACCACATGAGAGCATGAATATGAGACATGTGCATGTTTAACATGCTTACATGGTTTGACTTAATGTACATAAGAAACTGAATATAAATATGAAGACATTCATATTCCTTTCGGTTGTAAATACGAGAGGTATTTGAGGTGCACTTGGCTGTTTCTTTGAAGTTGCAATGCGCTTCGTTTTACGAAAAGACCGTCTTATCGTCTTTCCTCTTCAAGGAAAGAAATATAATAAGACCTTGCTCACCTCTTGCAATTGTCGATTAAGCTCTATAAAAAATAAAGAACCTGAGAGTAATAAGGTTCACCATAACTGACTTATAAAAGCTAAAAAATAAAGTATTTGGGAAGGGACAATGAGCGAGGTGTACGTGAACAATATATATTTCAATCACAAACTATTAAAATAAAATACAATCCTAAACAAAAACGTAATTAAAAAAGGGTGGTATAATTCTACTCGAGTTTGTTTCCCGCATATGTAGGTAATAAGGCCCACGGACATCGGTAGTAAGAGAAAAATGGACCCAAATATATAAAAATAAAAAATATTTGAGAAAATAAACTTTTACCTTCATTTAGCTTCAATATTCGATGAAAAGAGTCCGTGGAGGAACGGGATACATCTCGTAACCCAAAGACTAGGGAGTAACATCAGACAAAATCGGGGTCAAGATATCTGTACAAAGGGAATCGTTAAAGCGTTACAGCAAAAACAGGAGAGAACTTAGTGGAGCAGATTGCGTAGCAAATAGAACTTCGGTTTCACAATGTCACCATGTTGGTGACCTCGTTTTGAAATATTACATGGCTAATAACTCACACCCTTAGAACTCCACGAAATTGATCAACTTGTGAACTCCGCATTCTACATTATTCATGAATTATGCTATTCGCCACCTTCAACGATAAGCTTGAAAACTTCCCCCTAGAAAACTTTCTGTTTTGCGCGACATCATGACCATACTCATAAATTATCTACAATACGATTTACAGAATAAATTATGGTGAATTCAGTAAAATATTCTATCGGCGTAATCCCCCTAAGCCGGCTTCTTCTTTCTTTCATTTTTGACAAGAAATAGGAAAGCGGTTTCAGCTGTCATAATAGAACAAGCAATGTTTTTGTGAAAATATTTCTAATCTTATCCCCAGGTGCATAACTCTGAAAGACACGTTTACAATTGAAATATTTTTCCCCAATTGTAGCCATTGCTCAGGTGGCCCTTGGCAGTGTGCAAGATTATCGTGGCCTGGTGCTAGCTTCTGGTCTCTACGGTGCATCTCTCGGTGGTGCCCTTTATTCCCTGAAGATGTTGGCCCTCGAAAGGCTGAGAGCGAAACATTTCGCGAGGTCGTGGGCTCTCGTGCAGGCTGCCGAGGCCCTGCCCATCCTTCTTGGAGTTCCTCTTACTGGTTGGTACACCATACTACCCTGGTTTGCATATCGACTAAGCTAGAATGATGGAGGTGACTAGTAATAATAAACACAATTATATTACATTATTTTCTCGCAATGAATTATCGCGTCGTTAATACTAGAGTTGAAACCCTTAANCATATTAGTAAAAATTATTTTCTACTTTACAGTACATTTTTAATAATGGGTGTAAACATTTTTTCGACGTATTTTTTTGCGTTGTTGTTGGTGGATAATCTCAAAACGTTGAAGGTTGTCATTGGAAGAGGTTAAGTTACGATTATTCGCAAGGAAAACACACGATACATCGACTAATCAATTAAAGAAATTTCGCAATAAGTTTAGAGCACACCAAACTTAGCTCTTTATTTTAAATGAACTAACAAATAATTATTCGGAATATACCTTAAGCACGGATGATGACAAAAAAACCAACAGCCAACGCGACGTCAAGAGTTTGTCGGTCAGCTTGCCCTACTTGTCGTAAATCAATTTGCCCCGAACGTCATTTTAACATTCAAAAGCATATTGACAAATGATAAACAATTTTATTTAAAAATATATACACAGCGATGCAAAGTTAAATAGATGCTCGTTTCATATGCCATATTTTAAAAATGATAAAAAGCAATATATTATACTAGAAAAGAAAAAAAACGGTGGGATGAAAAAATTTACTTCCTATCATAGTTTTTGTGTTTTATTTTTTTATAACTAAGCGATGCTGAAAATAATTATGTTGAGTACCGACAAAAGTGTGGGACACAATTAGGAATGGATGATAAAATTAAGAATGGTGTTAAGTAATAAACAAAAACTTCATTAAACATTGGTCAATTTACCTCGTGGGACAACTTGTCCCGATCTCTCCTACGGTTTTACGGGTTAGAAGCGGCTTTTAAGTTCAAACACCTGCATGCCTCGTGAGAACGTGAGGTCGAAAGCAGGTGACGAAGAGTTATGAAATGTCAACCTTGGGATCATTGCGGTTACTTTCCTTGCAGTTGAACGTCTGATCTTTAGACTCCTCGCGTAGCAACGTGGCGAGCATCATTATGTAGTCGCTGATCATAGTATTTGATGAAACTACTTGGTCGAATCGTAATTTCACTGCGGTTCGCAGTAAGCGTGAAACGGAGGCATTGTACCGTGAAGGAGCAGAGTTTAATTCCGACGTGCTTAACGGTAGCGCGACTCGCAACTTTCCTACGATCATTACGATGACAATCGTTAAATTGGGCTAGCCTAAGCGCTCTCACCGTAAGTACCAAGCTGTACGCTAACTGAACAAAGCAAAGGAAAAAAGCAGGGAGAAAGTAGTGTGAGAAATGAATCTCAATTCCCCTCCATTTTCGTCTTCTAGAAAGTATGCGACACGGCATTTGAATTCCCTGTTAAAATGTATTTATAGAATTTTGCCTAATCGGATGATTAGATTAAAATTCAACGCAATCAATTCTTCGACCTTCGGGAAACTTCAGAGATGTAGAAAAGTGACTTCTTACTTTCACTCACGAGTAGCTTTGCTTTCCTAAACCTATTCGATCGTGTACCCTAGCGGACATAAATGCGTCTCCTGCAGATAGGGTGTCAGCTATGTATGAAGCGAAGAAATTCATATCCACCAATGTACCACCAGCTACAAAAACCTGTTGACACGTTGAATGCCAAAACAAATAACGAGTGTACCATCGCAAGACGGTTACCGGTCACCGGTGACCCCCACGGCATTCAACGTGTTAAAGATGTCAAAGAAAACTAATTTCTTTCCGTGCACGACGAGACATTCTGATATATGAATGTACTCCCATGATCGAACTACGTGAGCCGTTTATTTTGGAAGTGACCTAAGTTCATTTGTATTTAAATTGAGATATTTAAAAGTTTGCCTTTCAATAAAATTAAAAATATACGTATAAGATACCAATGTGTCACCCTGCTTAAGTGTATCTAAGAGAGTTAAATTTACAATTCCTATTAAAATAATAGCAATTATTAAGTGAATAATATTTGTTAACCTTACCACAAGTGGACTTAGACCACTTTCAAAATGAACGACTCACATCAAACACAATTGGTAATGCTTCTATCCATGCATACTCGCTTCAGCGATGATCCAAATCCCGATTCCATAATCTTTAATATGTTCGATATTGGTCCATCGACACATGTATATCACTACCTGACATACAAAGAAGATAACCGCTTCCAATTTTTCAGAGTTAAGTACTCGCTCATCCCCAAGAAAGGAACATCCAAATATCGAAAAAGGATTTGAGAGATCTAAAACTTGACAGCATCGCTATCGATTTCACCAAGAGTTTATATTTTAAATCCAATGGCTTCTACCGAACGGACCCCGGTCTCTCGATATTTAAATTACAGCACCGTGAATGAGAAAAAAGATCTCGTAATCGCTTCCAGTTCTTTCGACTCAGGTGTTCGGTCATGCCCGAGGATGGAGAATCGGAATCCCGGAAGCCGAATGCCAGCAGCTCTAGAGAGAGCATCGCCTACTTTTTCCATTGAGACGTCGTAACGAAGGTAATTTTTGTTTAGGTTACATTAACGCCAGCAGCCCGCGGGTCGGTTATTATGCGTCGACTTTGAGTCCCCTGTGCGGTGCTGCTCTACTGTTCCTGGTCGGATGGGGCCGACAGCCAACATCTCCTATGATCATCGGATCGCAGCCTTCCAACATCGGGCACGTACCACCACCTTGTGCTTGTCCGCCACCCCCCAGATCCCGGTTGCCCAAATCACAGTCGCTCCACGTTCCATTGGACGTGAACCACGAGCCTTTCCAGGAGCGCGAAGCCGAGCGACTACGGAGCCGAGAACAATTTTGTCAACCGCAATTCCACACACCTCTGCGACCGAGCAAAAGCGTCCCCGAGGGCCTCGGTCACCAAGACGCCTACAGGGGCCGACGAGGTCGTCATCGCGACATCACTGTAATAGAACAGATTACGACCAGCGTTTAATCGCTGTTCCCTGCGGGCAAGCCTGTGCTCTTTCTCTTCCATAACATTCAACTCGTTTTGACGAGTCAGGTACCTGAACCTGATCTATTCGAAGGTTGCGATTACAGAACCTCGTATATAGTTTCGTTGAAATTCACCGTGACGACAATTACCGGGATGGTTTCAACGGTGATTGAAACGCGGTTTTACTCGTTATGTGAAGAAAACGAGAACAAACTTCGACGTCAGTGTGATGTGAGAGTCGTTTGTAACGATTGAATCGGCGATGCAGAAAGAAGACTTGACTTGAAGGAGGAACTAAAGAATTCAACGGGTTAACCGAATTCGTATTGACCGTGTAGAAATTAGTTGTAAAGATAAAACGCGGATTGAACGGACACGTTCTAAGGTTCGTAATGTATCGATAAGGTTACCGTAGAGGGGGTGCTGGTCTGTCGTGGAAAACTTGTATCGACTGATATTCGTCCGCGTTTGCACGGACATTGTTATCCCATCCTCGTTCACCTCGTTACATTGTTTGCTCCTTATTGCGTACCATCTTTTCGTTATAAAACGTCGAACAGCCAACCGATTCCTTCTCTGTCCTTTATATTCGTGGGACCGTCATTAAAATATCGAGGAACGTGCGAACTTTCGTTATTACCTCTTTACGTAGGCATAGGAGATACGTACTCGGAGCTGGTCTCCGGCGTCGTTATACAACGTTTTTTCAAGTTTTTCCGCGGCCCTCGATCACGTCGGTAATTTTAGGGTAGCGTAATTCGCGAAAAGGGCCAATGTTCACTCGGTGGGAAAGCGTCAAACGCTTTGCCACAAGTGCAAAGTGCTCTCTCATCACCACACCGATGCATAAACGTGTTCACAACTTCCAGACGAACTTTGACTATAAGCGCGCAAAGTTGAAGAGCTTCGTGCTCTAGAAAACAGGCACAATTTCGGCCAGCTCTGCAACGCGACTGCCTCGCTTTACGGCCGTTTGAAACACGATATAGAGAAGAGTCCAAAAGCAAAAACAAATTGTACCGGCCTGCCGGTAATAATCGAATTTTATCGCTGGCGAAGTTCCTGATTACATATTATTCCGTTGATAGAAATTTCAAAGTAAAACGAAATTAGTTTTGCCTGTGGTTCTTCCTGGACTAGCTTCCCGTAAGTTTGATCGTTCCTGCAACTGCATACCGTAACTGTACCAATGTTGATTCGAATCTGAAATTGGACAACCGAGAATTAGAATGAAAGTGAAACTTACGGACCTATACGAGATCGCTATCGCACGGTGTTCCTTTCTCTACGAACAATAGAGTATATATTACAAATGTTGGGGCTAGGGCAAATTTACTTACCGCTGCGTTTCCAAACAGTTCGAATTATCGCAAGCAGATTCAGCAACCGTGTCGTGCCAAAAGTCTAAATCTTCGGTCACTTTTAATCCCTGGGCAACGACTGCAATCGCACTAGGAATACAATACAATGGTAACATAATGAGAAGTTGCGTTAAATGCGACGGAAGCGAATCATGCATGCATGGATTGTAACACAGGTTGCAATAAGTCGCTAGTTGTGCGACGAGACAATCGTCCAATTATCTCTTTGTCGGACAAAGACGCACACTCGTCGTACGTATATTGTTTTTGTATATAGACGTTAAGGCTTGGTCGTTCGAACCCGTGCTTTCGAAAATGTTGGGCGTTTTAATCGTTAGAGATATATACGGAGAAAAAGAAGACTCGTTCGTGCATCGCGCTTATCAAGGCGTCGACACAGTGGGACTGCATCGTTTATAGGCTGTAGTGTACCTGTATCTGTTATATACGTATATCTTTACGGGCCTTGCCCGCGACCACAATCACTAAAATTTAATAACTCACAAAGTACCGATTGCGGCTACTACGATGACAATGAGTAAAATTAGGCAAACCAGATAGGATAAACCTTTACGGAATCTCCCGTACCGTGAAGGTATCAAATTTGACCAAAAGCGTTCTCCACCGCGTACCAATGTTAGAATGCAATTAATGATTAGGTCGTAATGCAGCCCATGGTTGCGCCACCACGGGATCAACCTATAATCATACATCTATCATTAATTGCGATTAAATGCGTTTTTCGCGGTAGGAGGTATATCTTAAGTTATAGCAATTAGTTACCCGACCCCTTAGAGACTCGTTCGCGATGCTTCAACCTTTGATTCGCCGTGTACCTTATTCATTCGAATGTCACGTACCCCGTTACTTGATGTCTCACCTTACATGCATACGTAAACGAAAGTCTCTTGTGATTAAGAGCTTCTGACTCAAAATTAATATTACCGTCACTCCTCAAGTTTATTTTGGATTAATATACTTTTTAAAGACCCGTAGACAAGGTGCTGCCAACAGCTGGACCAATAAGCAGTCTAATTAAGGCTCAAGTTTCCGGCGTCAAAGGCGTCAAAGTTGATTGGCTGCACCTTTCAACTTTTGATGATAAGACGGTGTCGGGAAGTTAATTATAACCCTCTTTACCTGGCCTGCAGATGTTTTGATGATATTTTGGAATCCCATATCAACAACTCTCGTTGCTACTTTGTGATATCTTTCATGTTTGCATAATCTTGGAGGTACGTCGTACGTATTGTCTGGAGAAAACTCCAATTTACCTACAATTTGTGAGAAAAATAAATCTATGAAATTTGTACGCTAGTATCGTTGTTATGTAGCCCTAAATATTTCAAACTGCATTTGAGGTGGTCAAGACAAACAAGATTAATAAACTTCTGAAAATTCATCCCGTTTCATGTAATTATCATTTTCAGGGTGTCAAGCGAGACGAAACCAGAATTTCGTTTGTTTATATATGAAATAAGAACTCTTATTATCGAACTATCAAAGAAAACAACTTACTTTCTAATTTTCTTTCGTATTTTTTTTTATTTCACAGGGTGGTTTGGTGGTTAAAGTGATCATTAATATAACCTATTGAATGATTTTTGTTATATCTGATGCTATATCTTTTATGTTCAGCAAATCTCTTATATCTGCAATTTATTACTGCGACCATTACATATATCACTAGTTACTACTCTCTCGAATTCACTTAACTCGAATAGAATGTTAATTCGCAATACAATGCTACCGATACCATGTAAAATATCTCTACATTTTAGAGGTATGGCTTATTTGATATCACGGTAAGAAACAGTGCATATCTTGCCTTTATCCGCCATTAACGTGGATCTATTTCTTAACTATTTCTTCCGCACCAGAATCAAATTCTTATTCTATCCTAATGTACTGGACTTGTGTACAATATTTTTTCTATTTATTCGAGAAAAAGTTTCTCAATCAAATAAGTTTTTATGGCATTGAAAACTTACATACAAACGAATAGTACGTATAAATCTTGTGATAACTCTGTAAATTTACAAACTGCTATATTGTCCGTACATGAGAGATGGTTAAAATTGGAAATAATCTATGAGCCAATTTGCTCAGTTCGGAGATTTTTGTCTACAAGCTACGTTGATTATATATAATAATATTTCATTCAACATGAAACGGGGAAACGTTAATTATGTTATTATATAGGGACGTATTGACTGGAAATATTGAAAAAGAATTTCTCAAACCTCAGTGATACGCACGGAATTTGCATAAAATGAAGCGTCAATGTTTCCATGTAAGCAAGATCATTCACTTTTTTATATGTACGTTTGTAATCTTTCTAGGTTTTAACTTACTTAGCGGTGACTTGTATCAATGTCATCTGGTATATCTTCCTCGATCAGCGGTTGACGCAAATGACCTTCGCTCGTCGTTATGTTCTTAAAGAATTTTAACCGGTCGGTCATAAGTATGGAATCCCCCTGCATCAATAAACTAACTGTATCGTACGTGTAGCGGGATTTCAGTCGGTATTTACCGCCGTTCGTCTTTACACGGACGACACAGTGCCTATTCGCGTTGATTACGATAACATTAGTGAACTGTACTAATTGTACTTTCGTCGTGTATATTTACGATGTATCAACTCTATAAATAAATTATTATTTTGAAAGTTATTTCTGTCGCGTCCCTCGGTTGAATCTATTGATCAACATTGGAACTGATGACATGGAACAACGTGAATAAAAATATTCTTACGAAGACAAAAAATAAGACATTTACGTTTTAAGACTTACCTCGCAATTGCGTTGAGAAATAGTCCACCCAAGTTCAAATGTACATGATTTTCGCGCTTTGAATAGGCGCCATCTCTCGGTAAACGAACGTAACAACTCGTGCCACGGAACGTCCAAGCACGAGTTTGTGCAACTTCCGCAAACTGGACTACCTCCTCCACCAGCGCTATCTACCAGACTCACTTTAATCATTTTCATTTCCCCGTCTTCCCTACAATAATATCCTACGCACTACGCATCGCTCCTTATCTCGACACGTCCGCCAAGAATATTGTGATCATTAATTTCACGTCATTTATTCATCTATAGATCATAATTCTTGAAACGAAAGATGTTTCTTTCTTTCCGTAAAGGTTTCTCGACGCTGTCGCGAATGACAGCGCGTGTATAGTTCTAAACGCTATAAATAACGTCAAGAACGATGAAACATTCTTGAGAATCTATCGGTAATTTCTCCAAAGCTTTATTTTCCGAGACATTATGAAAATTTAAATATTTGCGACGGAGGGAATGAGAAGTTCCTATCGATTGCAGAGAAACACGGGGGTGGGAGAACTTCCGTTGTACGTTTGCTGCGACCAATTAAAACCTCTCATTTGCTTCGTCCAATGACGCCGTCGGATTAATAAAATATCGGGCCTATTCTGGGCCAAATCACATGGAATTCCCGGGAAGTTACACGTAAATATTTTTAGCTGGAAGTAAATAAAAGTCTATAATTAATATTTCGTTATAATATTTACTACTCTTTAACTTGAACTTCGAAGGGTATTAGAAAGAAATATTACTTAAATAAAGAAACGTCAAGTATATAAATAAAAAAAATAAACGTTCTCGTAAATTCTCGATATTCTCGATAACTTACGGTATGTATGACAGTTACCTTCACCGATTTTATGTTACCGAATATTTTCGAACTTTAGTCACCAATCCCGCGGGTTTTCAAAGAGGTCGAAGACAACCTACTTTACCGGCCGTCGTCGCAACTCTCGTTCAGCCTGCGCCCGATGGTGACGCTGCGGACTGCTGGTCACACGGGTCGAGCGTTGCCCCGCTCGTCGAACAGGTGTCCCCACCTGAGCGCGCGTCCGTAGTTCGTGGCCCAGATAGTTGCGCGTTCGCAGGGCCGCGCGTAGAGCGGCTGCGGCGGTGGCGGCGACATCAGCGAGAGAACGCGCGGCGACACACATCGGCGCTCATCCAGACACACTGCGACGCGGAAGACCGCCGCGGTAAACGTGCACCTGTGCCAACTCGCGAGTCCGGCGAGTCCCACCTCGCCACTGGGTCAGAGACGGTCGGAGGGACGTACGTCGATGGAATCCACGGCGACGAGGCGGCCTCTCGTCTCTGCGAGCCACCGACCAGTCGCCGAGTCGCGGACCGAGCCGCTCGAGACCTCGGGAATTGGCGTCGCGCGGTGCGAGTGAACCGTTGACGCGAAAGCGCCAGGCGAGGCCCGCTCGAGAGCGGACCGAAGGAGTCCTTTCGCGGGACGTCGCTAGGCTCGAGATAGGTACGTCTCCTCGACTCGTGCCGGTTTAACCGCCGTTACGAGTTCGCCGGTCTCCCCGGGCTTTCCGTGGACTCGAGGACGTCGGTACCTCCCGGTACTCTTCTGGCCGACTGGCTATCCGGACTCGTGGACTGGAAATTGAATTCGTACCGCCGTTGACGTTTCCACGGAGTTCCACGCACCGACCTGCCCCATTCGTCGTCGGAACCGCCGAGGGAGCGGTCGCAGCTGGTGGAGACGGCGACGTGCCCTTCGGCTTGCCTCGTCCCGGATCCGCGTGCTCGACTCGACCCCCCACTCGCTCGCCCGAAAATTCCTTCTGTCGGGTTCTCCATAATCAGGACGTCGTTGCCAGGAAACCAACACTGCCTCTTCTGGACGTTCCAGGTAAAGTTTTTAGGGTGGTTTAGCGATGGAACGATGTGAAAAATCGGCCGACTGAATGAAATGATAATCGTCGACTTCACGTCCGTCATCTGAAAAATATGTCAACTATGGAATGATTGTTTTTAAAATTCTGAGTGAAAGTATTTTGCTAGATGCCAATGTAGAGAAAACGAGATTCGTTTAAATTTGTGAAATGAGTTTACGGCTTAAAAATTTATTTAAAGCTTTTGTAGGGTAAAAGACTGGTTTTTTTCTATTGGAAATCTAGTTATGACGTGCTCGTCGAATGGCACGGTTGTGTGGATGTTTTTGCTGACTTTTACATTGCCTTAATTGATTTTGGGGGCACAAAAGTATTTATTTTTGGGACTAATTCTGGAGGTCAATGATTATGCAAATATTGCCAGCTGTGGACAAATTATTATTCATATCTGGTAAAATACTGTAAACAAAGAAATAATGTATCGGCATTCGCTTTAAACTTATTTGTTGTTACAAATTTTAGATCGGTATTCCATGTTACGAGAAGTGACACGATCGATCGATAATCCACTTTTGCAATCCTATGCTCCGATACTGTATGTAGCGAATGATTTCTACCTGGAACAAAATAGTAATAGCACATTGGGTGTGTACATTATCTAACAACCAATTATTTACTGACTGTCCGGACCACGGATGCCTTTGTCCAGAAAATATTTTACCACTCGGATATATAAAACTAATGAATTCCTTGTCATTGCATTTATTCACCAATAATACATCTATCGACGATATTTCCATTTCGTTATTACATGGTAAACCACGAATTACTGAGGTGCACGCGATAACGTATTAACCGTGCTATTAAAAACGGTTTCGGCACTTTCAGCGTTTTCTTTTCCGTGTAGACTCTGACAACTGTATTTTTGGCCTAAGCGTGCGTAGGTTCGGACAAAAGTATGAACGAATTTCCAGTTACGAGACAACGAGCAAGCATACGCAAAAATACAGACTAATCCTTCGACCGAATATTTAGCGCACTTATATCATTATTTTTGTTTACATTGTTTCATCATGCGAGGCTTCTTAAAGAAACATTTTTGGTTGAAATTCCTATACTCTTATAATATTCTTATAGAGATTTATATTTTTCTTAATTTAAGGTTTTAATTCAAACTACATCATAAGTATCATTGCACTTACAATTGCGGACGTGAATGCCTGCTCTGCGGATTTGATGTCACCAGCGTACGATGGAAAGGCATTATTCACGTCTGTCAGCATACATGAAAATTAGTCTACGTGCAGGAATAGCTCAACAGGGTACAGCTCCCTTTATTAAGTTTTTGACGTCTATCGTTTCTTTTAATAAACATTTATCTTCATTTTGAATCTAAAAAACGTTTTCAACAAAAGATCCCTTAATATATTTTCATTTGTATGAAAAGGGTTAAATTTTTGTGCTGTGCCAAGGTGATTTGCTTGCGTATAGCAATTCTTAGCGTTGAATTTTATTAATTCGTAGTGGGACATCATTGTAGCTTCTACGGTCAGGGTGAACGCTGAAAATAAAAAGCGTAGGCTATGATTTCTTGAAATCTGCGTTGTGAAATTAAGATAATCTCGCAAGGAAAATATTCCAGGTATAACACCCGGTTTTATTGTTTCTAATATTTATAGAAGTACATCCAAAAATAAGAAACACGTACTTTTTTTGTACGTTCGAATTCACGCATTTAAGGAGGAAAAACCACCCATAGATTGCAGGTGGCCCGGTCGAGAAATATTATTCCTTTTTCGAGATAACGTCACAAAGTTTTGTTAGGGAGTGATCTTTCCCTTTTAAACTTACGCATTAGCACGTATAAAAAAAAATACGTGTCTTATTTTTTGGTGTACTGCAACATAAGTCAGAACCAACAAAATCGATGAAGTACACGTGGGATACTTTCCTTGTCAGACAGGAAGTGAAACCGAAGAGATGACCATGACCCGATCACTTTAGATCGGGACAAGAGACACGAAGAAACGTGATTTTCTTGAAACTCCGAGCTGCTGTAAATGCCTGGCCTTGATAAGAAGAGAGAAATTCGGAATCGTTTCAAAAACGATCCTTATCAGTTCCTCTCCTTTGACGCGGCCTGCGACGTCGGCGATAAGGCTTGCGGTTTATCGGGATTTAAATTTCGCTATGTCGTTCAACAAAGGAATTACGTTTCCACAAAGTAATTATGTGGTCTTGACTTAACTTTTGATGGCCGCTATCATGTATACACGAGTTCGCCTAACCAGTGATTACCAGCTGGCATCACGTAAACGTGATTCCGTTCTGCCCTGCCATTCCATGCGGAAGCTAACAGTCAATGAAAAAAATTTCCGGCCGTCAGTGTTAAACAAACAAGAATGGAAATACTTCGGGCGAATTTCGTGGCTTTGCTTACCGATCCACGTCCTATTACCGCGTTGTGAACGAACATCGTGTTGGAGGCAAAATTAGTGTGACGACTCTACTATTGACAAGTCTAGATTTTCTGTAGATCTCGCAGGTAACTATTTATTGCTACAACGATATCCGTATGCCTCAAGGAAACGTATCGAAGAGATCCAACTGTTCGCTTCTGGGTTAAGTGTTCTTTCTGTCCGCTGGTTGTAGAGACAGCCTTAGTTCAGCCTTATCAGTTGTTTAGGCAACAACGACGTCTTTTTGCCCGTGATCCCTGGAATGGATCTCGGGTCATTTTGCCTTTGTCCCTTTATGAATATTCCCTTCGATCAAGGAAACCTTAAGGTAAAGTGAAACATCCTTCAAATCAGTCGATTCGAATACAACACTTTTTTTTAAGGGTATTAGACCAAACTGTCCGAAACTTTGACACATCACTCCACATCTAAGAATTGTCCCGACACATTGAAAACTTGGATTTTTCAAACAAATTTTTTTAATTCAATCCAGACCAGAACCAAAATGGCGTCGAGTTCTCATATTTCGATCAATATACAATTATCGAAGGCTCTGATATAAGAATCGAAAGGGTCAGGACAATTTTATGACAATTTAGAACACTGTGGTAATCGATAAATTCGTATTTGAAAGAGATAAAGGCAAAAAAAGTGTTGTATGCGCTTGTATGCCAAAACGATGGGAATACGAGGTCTCGGAGTGAAGACTTAATTGACCTGGAAATCACAGATGGCGCAGGGAGTCCCTCTGCAGTCAATTAGGGCCCCAGAAGGCATGAATCCAGAGGATTTCTGGAGTTTTACTACGATTTCTTTATAATTATTGTACGAAAACGACAGGTGGAATATGCCATTTGATACAATACACAATATAATTCGACCCAGCTGTCAATATAAAAACGAACGTCGGCAACGTAGGCATTTAGAAAAATCTTCTTTATCGACGTTGATCAAGTTCCTCGACGTGTTTCACTTCACCTTAAGTTTGAACGGTCCTAAATTTAGATGTTCACGAAGAAGTGCTGACCGTGAATATTTTCAAGAACATATCATCCGGAAATTTACACATGTCAAACTTGATAGAGCTTTCTAGCGATACGTGTGTCAAAACGTTATAAGCGGCGTCGGTCACAATTATCGCTGGAACCAGAAGGTTACACAGAAAGATGATTTTAAAAGAACTAAAATCTACCACCAAACAGTTTGAATTCGAATCTTCGAGCCAGGATGAATACGGTATTACTTGCAGGCAAATGAACAATAAAGTGCAACGATATCCACGTTTATCCATTCAATTAAATTAACGCACTCAAATCCGCAACTTTCTCCAGGGCCGATCTCCGTTTCGACGAATTGCAATTCCCTCGTCTCTACGCCCAATCGAATTCCCAAATATATGCATAAATATCGCGCAATCGAGTACTCGATTTTCGTTCATGAAAATATCGCGAGTATTAAAGCTGTAAGGCCGTTTGCACCCGACCGGCAAAATCGGTGATGGTGCCGGTTTTTTTCGATGGTAATAACGTAAATAAATGTAAGTTAGATTGTTTTCGGCGGAAAAGTCGGTGCCGACGCCGGTTTTGCTGGTACGTGTACAAGCGGCCTAATCTTCATTTGCGAAAAAAATCAACGTCGACGTTCGTTTGCATAAATTTGGCAGAAATCGAAGTCCCGATTTCGGCCCGGGAAAATGTCCATGGTTTCGATGATACGCGCTGTCCGAGTCGCGGAGAGAGATCTCCCCTGGGAACTCGCGATTTCGACTATGCCTGCCGAGGATTCCCGATTTCGCGACCTATGTAGACGGCCCGGAAGGATGGACGCGATGATTGCCCTCGGCGAGTAATTTCGAAATTGCGATCTCTCCGTGGCAACCGGGATTACTGCGGATGCACTCCGCGTCGACGCCAGTTCATTTCGCGCCGTCTCTTCGCGCAGTATGCGGCGGAGAGGACTAAGACGCGTGATTCCGGCCTCGGACGATGCCTCTACAGGGATCCTGGGAAAGGAGATATCGCATTTTCAGAACAGAGAGAAACGATCGTCTTTTGGATCACTCCAAAAGTCGCCGTCTCGATTCTCGCGTTCGCTTTGACAGGCATTTGCCATTGTGGTTATGAATTTGCCTAACTCAATTTAACCTTCTTTTTTTTTTTTCGTCCCCCAAAAAACCTGAGAAAAAACTCTCACAAGTATTTGATTCACATTTTATCCCGTAAGACCAAAAACCTAAATCGAAAGATTTTTATTTGTAGCGTTACACGGTTTTTTTTTATTTTTTTATTTTTTTTTTTTATAATGGATCTCGTACTTAATTGAGACGAATGTCTATGAAATCGCCCTAAAGGGATATACAAATTATTACGTTGGGCTAGGTCTTGAAATTAATCAAATGCACGCATATCTGATTTATTGTCGAAATTGGATTTCTTAAACGTAAAAATTCATGCGTACCTGGATATTTTATTTTGTGATTTCAAGTCTTTTTCCCATGAAGGATTTCCCTTACTTTATCCCCGAATGCACCGTTATTGCTAACCATCGTGTATAATCCTGGCAACCACGTTTTAACTTCGATGGTCGTATAATTTGCGACCGTGTACTTTCTATCTTCACTGTACAATGCATGAACGCGCTGAGAAAAGGGGTTCGCTCGACCTGCGCTAAAATATCGACAAAAGTGTTAGACTAATTTAGCATTTCTCGATATTCTACTATCGATGCGTTCTCGATAAAGCTTAAAAAATTTCCTTAGAGAAATTTCGACGGTGTTAATGTTCTTTAAAATATTCAGGGATATTCGAGATACGAAACAATTGATCGGTCGCGTAACAAATTGAACAATCTATAGAGTGACTCCAGAAGAAACTCTAAACCTGGACACTGCAAACTTCCACGTGATAAAAACTGTTAAGTAATCTACCTGGGCGCGACGAATTGAGAAGAGATATCTCAGGAGCAGTGGCGTTTCGTGGCTGGTGAATTTCCCCGTCGATTACCTCGAAGACCGTTTATTGTAAACATTTTATCAATGCTTCTTTTGAATTGAATCGTCATGATCACCGTGCAATATCTCCTTTGAATTCGATGCTCGTGTTTAACGATATATTTAATAAATCTAAGGAACAAAAAAACTATTAATATTAATTCACCAAATCACAAAGGAAGTTGAGGAAAAAAATTCTTACGGCTTAAAAGAAATTTACTCGTTAAATCGCCAAAGTATTTTAAAAGCGGCTTCTTCGGTACTCCAATTACTTATTATTATTATTGATAGTTAAGTAGCTCACGCTACGCTGTCAGTAGTGAGAAACTGTTCGCCTTCCTTCGAAAGTGGCAAACTCGATTCACCCACGCTTCAATGCATAATTCTTCGACGGCCCTCAACCGGCTGTAAATATCGTTGGAACATCCTGTGAAGAGACAAAGTATAATTACCGCGGAGGTGCTTTGACTCTAATGGCCTTTACATTTATTTTTCTCTTTTGCTTCGCAAGCTACATGGGACGCACGCGCGTAATGCGTTGTCATATTCTTCCCAACCCGCGGAAAGTAGCGAAATATTGCAATGACATCCAAAAGAATTTATTAAATGGGTCTTATAATATGTCCACCTAACTTAACGTTTACATTTTTTGTAAACAAAATCCAGAGGGCGAAGCGATTGCGTAAACGCATTCTCTTTGAATTTGCTTCACTCTCTATTACTTCGGAAAGCATCTAAAAACACGTACAATTTTCTTGTGCGTCCTGATGGATCTGTCCAGTAAATCACATAATATGAAAACATGTTCCAGATTACCGTAAATAAAACGGACAAAAGAATCGTCGTGTTATCAGTGGGGCGATGTCGATAACAGAGTAGGTGCTTTTAGTTATAAACTGTTAGTAAAAAAAAATTAAAAATCATTATCCCATATTTTCCGAAGGTGATAAGCCGATTTCACCCCCGCTCCTTCTTCGAGGATGAATGTTTCACAACTATCGGTCGACAAGAAATATCATACGATTGTCCTGATCGGAAAAAAGCATAATTAATGGACTGTTTAAAATCTGGAATTTACATAATAATCTCACCGGTTTCGGTTCGTTCGCACAGCTGGATGAAACGATTCGTTATCTCGTCAATGTTTCCATAATTATCCTATTCTGGAAATGCAATAGAAAGTGCTTTAATGAATACCATGAACAATTTGGATATATATCAAGGAGATGAAATTTCAAAGTGATCATAATTAAGTTATTTGGAAATAAGAACAATAACGATTATCGTGTTATTTGAAATTTCTGCTTGTTTGTCTAGTTGCAAAATCGGAATATTTGTTTTATGTTCATCTCTTGACGCATATAGAAAGTGATGATATTAATTTTGTTTACGACTTTATTAGAAATATTTTGAATGTCGAAATGTACGTGCATTGAAAAAGTGCAGGCTTTTGTCTGAATTATTTCATTAAATTGTATTAACTTTTTCCCTTAACCCCTTCTCACATCAGAATTCGATTCGGTGACTTTTGGTTTCTCCGCAAAATTTGCGAAATCTGCACGAGTGTTTTAATACACTGCATCGTACAGGTTTCGCCAGCATGGTCCCGGTATTCGAAGGCAAACAGAGATACGAAGAAAAATTCATTCCCAAANCTCTCTCTCTCTCTCTCTCTCTCTCTCTCTCTCTCTCTCTCTCTCTCTCTCTCTCTCTCTCTCTCTCTCTCTCTCTCTCTCTCTCTCTCTCTCTCTCTCTCTCTCTCTCTCTCTCTCTCTCTCTCTCTCTCTCTCTCTCTCTCTCTCTCTCTCTCTCTCTCTCTCTCTCTCTCTCTCTCTCTCTCTCTCTCTCTCTCTCTCTCTCTCTCTCTCTCTCTCTCTCTTTCTCTTTCCGAGTCGGAGGGCCATCTGGGATGCGCGAAACGTATGAAAGTTTCAACAGTTTTTCGCGTGCCGTCAAGCACAGTTGGGTGTCTACAACGAGGAAAGGGAAAAGCCCAGACTGCAAATGACGTTTTATATCGATCTAATCAGTATTTTTTTTGCTCAAACATCTCGACTTGAAATAATGAATTTTCCCCGTTTCCTATTTATAGAAGTGCTGTCGGTCGATCGCAGATTCGGTATAGCGCGGTAATGTATTGATTGCGATTCGAACAACGCCGCGAATATTCATGATTCGGGGAAAACCTGGTCTCCGAAATGCAGGGAGGAATGATATGATTTAATGACGATGCTCGTTACAATCGCGCTTCCCCGAACGACGGAATCGCGAGTGCGCGCCGCCATTGTCCGTTCGAACGAAGGCTTTTCTCGGGAAGCGAGCAGCCGACCGAGTCGAGTTTCTGCGCGCCTCTTCGCGGATTTGTTCGAAACGTATGTACGTTTCTCTGTGTCGTTCAACTTGAGCGCCACTAGCAAAGAACGCGTCTCCTCGGCAGTATTTTACACTCTGCTTAGCGTTAAGGAAAAAAGTACGCGGTAAATCTCGACCGCTTTGCGATGCCGCTCTCGTCTTAACGCCCTAAATCCGCGCGACGCTAATTAATCCACAACACCCTTTAAACTCCCGAAATTAATGGTCGCTTTGACTATGTTTTAGGTCAAACTAAAGGAAAATGAGCATCGCGATATTTTTACTGTAAAGGGATACCTCGAATGTGTTTTATCACACGAATGGTGCACACGTGTCGAGGGACAGAAGCAATATCTTGAGGTCCCTACACGTCGCAATGTATTGTAAGGTGAAATTTCTTATGGCACGGTGACACGTGTAAGTTCGCAGGTTATGAAAAGCGCCCCTTTCGGAACGCTTTTATTTTATAGATAATTACATTTCACATTCATCTCTTTGTTTTAATATTAATACAATTTGCAGAAACGCTATCGTTAGTGTCACATAATTTCAATTTGTCTAAAAAGTTAACCAGTGGCTGTACTTTTGGCTCGGCGAAGTTGACATTAAAATCGCCTAAAAATATAGAGCGTTATTCTCTTATTGGCATATTTTGAAGTGAAATGAAATTAATATAAATGAAAACAATGAATAATTATGTCCGAAAGGACTAGTATCGAACGACTAACGGCATTTCGTGAAAGAGCAATCAAGATTAATTATTAATATGTAATCATTCTCGTTAACTTTGAAGTTTCCCTTCTAACGCGCATGGTTGCCACGCACCGATTTTTAATTTTTATACAATTTTTTCTAATCTAAAACGTTGGATTAGAACTGCACCTTGCCTTCTATTTGTGTAATTTTCGTTTCATCCGATTAAAAAAAAAAAGAAACAAAAGGAAACGTATAGAAGGTATGAAAGTGCAATACCATTAGTCTTATGAAAAGATCAGGCAATGTCCTCGCAGGTATTTACATGAGCACGTCCTACTTCGTTGAATTTAACCTTTCGTGGAATACTCTTCAACGGTTCCTTATTCTATTCCTACTCTTTCGCTCACTACTTCTTTCTTCTTTCTTTTCTCGATTTATTCTTTTTCCTCTATTCCGGACTCTAAGCTATGATGTTTGCAATTCAGGTGTATCCTCGCTCCTGGACTTCCGGAGAAAGACGGAGCGTACTAATTTTGAATACTTATATGCATTACTGACACCCAATTTGTCTCTACCTGTACTTCTTTCCTAATCAATTCTAAAAGAGAATCGACCTAAGGCATACGTGAATTCACATCTTCCTCTTGTATCCTAAATTATCCTATTTCCACTCTTTTTCACAAGTGCAGCTCCTCTCGTCCCCGTAATCGAACGCCTTACGGCATTCGATCCTTATTGCATTGCCGACCGATCTGGGAGATTCCACCCTATTTCGCGATATGCCGCTGCACGACCGTTGGGAGAGATCTCCCATTTCGTTTTGCGACATATTGAAGCGCGCTGGCCAAAGTGTACTCAAATAAGTCATGATAAATACTATAAGGCTTAACTCGTTACCAATAAGTTGGGTTTTAAGGGAAAAGATGAATAAATAGAACGATGGTTTCGGTGATACCTTCAAAAAATATGTCGATAATCCTGATCGTACCCTGAGAAAGAATAGTATTAAAGATTACCACACGAGCTGTGAAATAGACGCCAGACTTTTAAAATGATATGGCATACAATAACTACAGTTTGTAAAATAATTCTTTCTATAGTTGTATATCTCTTTTAGGTACTGGTACCTATTTCACGATTACTTTTTCTCAATGCAGGACATATAAAGAAGCAATTGTAATAGAAAATATAGTGGATATATACGCTTTTCATATGCTGGCTCATTCCATAAACAGTATACATGATTGTCCAGAAGCGTGCAGGTAAATGCGCCGAAATTCGTGAAACTTTGTCCGTCATTCGCTAAACGATTATCCTCGAGTTACTTCTCTGCTCGTCCTACCCTTCTAGCCCTCCATTACTGCTACAAAGAACACAAATAAACGTACACGCCATTTAAAATGGAAAATACCGTGAGCACTTCGGAGTTAAAAGTAAAACAATAAAGATATGGGCAGCGTCTCGTCACTTTCCGTCAAGTCTGACATTGTTTCAAGACCTCTTAAAACACTCAACCCGCTTTCGATGTTTGAAACGCTTTAACCGCCTAAATATCTCCTATATGGGCTTAGTCTGGTGCCACGTACATTGGGGTAAGCTCTCGTAAGCACGGAAAAGCATTTTAAGCGTTGAAAGCTCGCCGAGTAAATCGGACGTCTTGAGCGAAATCGTAACAAACAAAGAAGGCGTTATGCCCTGACAAGGGTGCACTACGTTTTGTTTAAAACACTCAACGTGATTAACGCGCTTTTCAAAAGCTACGTATTCAAGTCCCTTTCTGTCCCAGCTTTAAGGCGGTCTAAAAGTAACTCTTTACCTAGTAAGCTAGACTGACATTACAGGTTCTCCCTATTTCTCGAAATTAGCGGAAAGAATCGTCCGTAACTTTGATATACGAATAAGCGCCTAGACCAAAGGAGTCCTTTTTCGATTTAGGGAATTGCATCCAATTCAACAAACGGTAACAAGAACACGAATTGTTATAAAATCTTGCAGCTCTGTTAGACGGTTACTTCGTTCATCGGCAAATGGATCTTTGGACCAGATACGCCGGGGCAATGATTTTAAAATTTAAATAAAAATCCACGTCAATTTCAAGTCCTCTTGGTACAGCTTCTAACATACACAAAGGCGATTCGACAGAGAATCCATTACTTATTAATGTTTGGCACTTGCAATTTACTAAACTGAAACGTTCCACAGAAATCGCAACGGTATCGGTGATTTGTTTTCAGCCAAAACGCGTATACAAAATTTTAATCTTTACTGGCTATAAGTTATTTCGATCGGTTTGACTCTCGATTTGAAACTCTGTTTAGCCAGGGTCTGTTTTACAAACAAATCGAACATTCTCTCCATTTGACCAATAATTTTGGAATTTATAGTAATGTTTTTGATGACATTAATTAATCTAATGAAACTATAATTCCGTGTAATACATTTTCATGTATATATCCAAATATTTTGATATCTATGACGCTCAAAGAAAACGTGATCGTAACTGAAATTATGGTCCGAATGCTCTGCCTGGAAGGTAAAAGCACTCTATAAAAAGTCTATATTTGTTGCGGAACACGATAATGAATTAATGGAAAAACTCGCACAGCGTAGAAATCCAAGACCGACGGCCAGTAGTGGTAATTTATTTTAGCCGAGTAAATAAAACGTTGAAAGCTGTTTGGGAAGGTTGAAAAACGTCCTGTTACTTTTGAATACGCCCGGGATAGTTTCGTTTCATTTAAATCAAACCTCGAGGCACGAGAATGTGAATTAAACAAAAAAGTTAACCAAAGAGTCACCTTTAAAAAGACACAAAACGGTGAAAATAACCATAACGAATAATCTACTTTTCGAACTCGTCTCCGCGATTTAAATCAAAACGTGTGGATATAATAAGCAGATAATAAACGAAAAAAAGAACCGAACGATCGCTACCGAAACGAAACTCCTCGAGCTCGTTGGGGCCATTCAGCATTCCCGCAATCTAAAAGCATCCAGGAATTAATTTGGTATCCCAGGGAGAAACTACACAAGCTCGAGTCCATTTTACTCCGCGATTTTATCTCCTTTCAATGTACGTCCCCATTGAGAACGACTTCCACGGCACACGGAGTGACCTAATTTTCCACCCTTCTGGTTAAAAAATTAATAAAAAAGATTGAATCGTAACGCTAAAGCTTTGCTCAAAGTCGACGGTCGTTTGAAATCAAAGGAATTGGACTTACGTAGAAACGTCGATTCGTTCGATCGAGAATCTCGCGTATTGATATTTTGACGCGCTCTGGAATGACGCACTGCCCATGTGGTCGCGGATACCGAGCGAGGAGACGACTCGCGCGAGCGATTCCACAGATTCCAGCGAGTGAAAGGCTCGAAACGCGAACGGTGACAGGACGCGCGCATTTGCGCGCGAGCGAAATAAAGGATGCGAGACTAGGACAATGTCGTCGCGCATACTCGCTGCATCGCGACGCGGCCCGGCGGGGAGATCGAATCCCGCTCCTCGCGGAGTCGCTATCGCGATGACAATCGCGAGACGAGATCGTATACGCGATCGGCGTGATAACGGGCTGCGGGTAATATTCCGAAATGGACGAC